AAAATATCTTCTGTACTCTCTTCTATAAAGACTGCGTACACACACACAAACACACACACACACATGTATATATAATTCAAAGCTTTTCACGCATTTTCGAATAGAAAATTGCTCTGCCTGCCTGCCTACCTGCCTGCTTGCYTACCAACACACATACATGTGTATTTTCATTCCTACGTATATGAACTCTGAAAAAGGGTTGAGAATAAAGAACAAAGTAAAGAAAAAAAAAAGAGAGATATTAAAAGTGAAAGAAATAGAAAGAAAGAGAGTGAGAAAGAAGAAGAAAAAGAGAGAGAAAGAGAGAGAAAATATCACTGTAGTTCTCATTTTATTTTCCACCTTTTATTTTCTTTTCTTTTCTTTTCTTTTCTTTTCCGCGATGAGATGCGGCAAACGCAGCAGATCCGCACGTGATTTATCTCTGTACCTTACGACAACCTTCTCTCTCTCTCTCTCTCTCTTTTTCTCTTACTTTGAAACACACATTTATATACACCTATATATATATACTTACACATATATACAGTAATCGCGAAGCTAGCTGGCCACTGACACAACTCGGACACGCGAGCGCGCGCCCCCTCGGAAGAAAATCTTGTGAATGAGCAGGTTCTCCATTCACTTTTAAACGGAATGGTTGAGTCGTAACGAGTCTCAACGCCTTCCTTTTCTCTCTCTCTCTCTCTTTCTCACATAAACACACACACACATTCATAGTACACGACTACGTGTATATAGTATACTCTTTCTCGTATGATCTATATTACATCTCTTTTCTCTTTTCTTTATACACTCTCATTATGATATATATATTATCTCACTCAATCTTTCGTATATGGTTTATTAAATTGCTTTGTATTTTTATACTTTAACTGGATTTGGTTTATTATACTAACTCTTTTTTTTTTTTTTCTTTCCAGGAAGGGTGGTAAGCAAAGGTTAAGAAAATAATTGCACAGGGTCCAATGACAAATAGAAAAATGTGTATAGTAAAAGAAAAAGAAAAATAGGAAGGACTTTAGAAAATTCTACAACCTAAAATATGTAGGTCATTAGGATTCTGTTTTTTCAAACAATTCTAATATCCTAACACTAGGAACCGAAGATCTGATGTTCAGGTCAGAATTTAAATTTGAACACGTGGACGATATTGTCCAGTCACGATTTTCTTACAAATGTTAACAATAAGATTTTATTCTGGAAAAAATATATTCTTTATAATTCTGACTTTGTAAATCACGTCTTGTTCGAACAATAGTTTGAAGTTAACTGAAACATTAAAAAGTAATTGAACAATGTTCGAAGGTACTATTTTGTAATAAATAAAAATTGAAATAAAATTTAGTTAAATAATAGTTTTGAAGGATTAGAAAGTTTGTCAAAAGAAATATAAGTAAATGAATAAAAAGAAAATAATAATAATAATAATAATAATAATAATAATAAAAAAGGAAAGAAAAGAAATGTTTTTAAAAGCAAAAGTTACTTAAAGATAGACACATAGAAAAACGATGGTAGTACCGTGTCAGATGGAAAATACTCGATTACCATCCACAATAGTCGTTTCAATGCAAATCACTACCCGACACGAAAGAAGACCGTAAACTATTTTCTCTTTTCCTTTCTCTGTATAAAAACATCTTTTTAAAGTGTCTACGAAATTCACATAAATGTCACCTGTCTCTATGCTTCACTTCGTTCTAAAGAAAATTTCCTATGCGAATTTTTTTTAACAAAACGTATAAAATAAAGCAAATACTTTTTTTTTTTTTTTTTTTCTTGAAACATCGATTGCACAACAGTTCGTCCAAAAAAAAAAAAAAAAGAAATATTTTATTCAAATTTATTATCCTAATTTCTCTCTCCTTTAAGGATATATGTTCATTTAAAATCTACATGCAATCCTAAATTGCAACCTTTCCGATCAATGCATCGAAAAACTCTCCTTTCTCTTTCCATGTTTTTTTTTATTTGTTTTTTTTTTTTTTTTTGGTTAATCGGAAAAATAAAGAAGAAGATACTACTATTCTTTTATATACAAAATGCATCTACAATTAGTCACGGCGGCTAATCCTATGGTTCGTTCGTTCACGAAAGCAAGGCCAATTTCAGGAAGTACTCTAGCAAATCTAGACGGGAGATTAAACGATGAAAATAAATGGGGAAACGTTTGTGGGTGTACGTGCGAGTGCATAATGCATAGTATCACGTGCCTAGAAAAATAAATATATCTATGATATCTATCATTCTTGAAAAGACAAGAAAAAAATACCATGTAAAACATAATTCATTTATGTATACCAAAAATATTAATAAATAATATCCTATACCAGGGGTCTAAGGCAACCTTTTGAGTTGGAAGAGCCAAAAATTACAATGTACAAAATTTCAAAGTTTAATTTTTAAAGAAAACCACAAAATTTTCTTCTTGCTAACAATAAATATTACTCGTATAAATAAAGTTTTTTTGATAAAAAAAAAAAAAAAAA